AGGTGGTTTTACACCTTCCCAGAGGCATTAGGTGTTGGCTACAGCCAAGGCTGGGGACTTTGACTGGGGTGTGCCAAAGCTCTTCCTGGGACCAAGGCCAGAGGTTCCTGGCTAGTGGGTCTTGCCCCTCCACTCAGGGTCAAACCAAATTCCATATCTGGAGTCAGGAAGGAATTTTACCCCATGGTCAGGTTGGTATGGACTGGGGGGGTTTGCCTCCCTCTGTCACAAGGGGCATGTTCCCTCTACTCAGGACCTCTTGGGCATATATTGACAGCATTTCATAGAAGCAGGACATTGGCTACCATGGTTTCCCTGCTTTACCTGTGGCAGGTTAAAGTGTTAGGTCCATTTTGAGTCAGGGTTGTTCTAATCTTATGTAGAGTTTAGATTATGGTTTGTATGGGATGGTTTGGATAGAGCTGATCCTGCCTCAGGCAGGGCAGTTAGACTAGATGACCTCTGAAGGTCCCTTTCAGCCCTGCTTCTCTGTGATTCTATGATTCTGTGAAAGTAAGTTGGTGTTAGGAGATAACCCCCGCCTGAAAGGGAACAACTCTGCAACACTATGAGGGTACTTAACATGTGCTAAACTGCTTGAACACCCAGCAGCTCATGTGTTAACTTAGCACTTAGTGTTAAGTTGAACATGTGACACCATCCAAAGATGCCACAAAGGTATACTCTCTAGCTAAGGGAGAGGGGGATGGGAGGGGCGACTCTTCAGTTAATAGGCAGAACCAAGGAGGGGACAGCCCCAGGTATGGGACAGATCCTCCAGAACATCAGACAAAGAAAGTCACATAGCCATTTGGCCATGCCACTCCTACAGCCCCCTACTGCCCAGTCCTGCCAGATCAGCAGGACCAAGCAGGTGCATCCCTCAGATCAGTGACAAAGCCACCCCAAACAGCTGATCAGTAGGACCATGCAGCAGGTAGTGTTCTGGCCAGACAGCTCCCACTGATGCTCCCTCTCCCTTGGAAAGAGGCAGGGAGAGCAGGGGTCCATAGGATATTAGTGAACAGGAATACCTATTCACATGTTAACTTCATCATGGAAAACTTTCCCACAATAAAGATGCTGCTGTTTTAAGCAGCAGCTTTTTTGTTGCAGACCTGACTTTTGGGGGCCAGATCAACCATTTTTTTAACTGGGACAAAAAGCCTGCACGTGGGCACAGGCTTTGGGTCATGCTGCAACAGTGGATGAAGCGCAAGAAAAGAAATGTCTGTCTAAGCCCTGAGAGTGCTCTAACCACTAGGGTCCACATGGCCTTCACCTCAGGCAACTAGCAGAGTTCAGCTTTGCTTAATTTGCATTCAACCAGATATTTTTTGTCTGTTTGTTTCATTACAAAATCAGGGTAGGAGTGGAGGTGGCAGTGGAGGCAGGGGAAAAGCAAGGAGAATGGATGAAGCTTCTCTGGGAACTTTTTTGGCTCCCCAGACAGAAAATTAGGTTTTAGCAAAGCCTTCTCCATATTGTGTCCCCCAGCCCACAGGCCCTGCTCAGCCCCAACACTGCTGTGGGGAGCCTCACCCTCTCTTCCATCCAATACCTCCCACCCTACTGCTGACTGTAGTACCAGTACTTTATCACTATTGATTTATTTTTCTATCCAGTTCAATCCATTGCTTCTCAAAAAAAAACCCAGTGGTGCCCCTGGCAGTAAATTATGGTGTCAGAGGGATGATGAGAACAAACTGCCATGTTTGTTTCAGTCTCTACTGGGATCACACAACACAGATTTGTATGTGTGTGCCTTTGTCAAAGGAAGGGTATTTACCCTGTGTAGACAGGCCATATTCTGAGAGGCCGCATTCTACCTGAATTAGCAACATGGCCAATGATCACTGGAAAAGCAGCATTCCCTGGAGGCTTTTGTCAGAGCCCTGGAGAGCCAGTCTATAACTGCCTTTGACATCTTACCCCAAAGGTACTATTCCAGCATCTGCTCTCCACAGTCGACTCCCACACCTCCCTATGCCCTCAACCAATGCTCTACATCCACACTAACACTCCCCCCCTTTCATGGTCTGAGCCTAAGAAGACTAGGACCAGTGCCCAAGACAGGTGAAGCTACAGCCAAGGGCCCAGAATCTGAGGGGCAGGAAACAGGGGCAGGGGCCCAAAGCCAGAGACAGGGCAAAACAGGGGCTGGAGCCCGTAAGCCACATCTAACACAGTGGGCCTAGGCTAAGGGGAGGGCGGCTAAAGGAAAGAGGTGGTACCTGGGAATGCCAAAGCCCTGACAAGGGCATGGAGGTGAGGCCTGGCAGCATATTGGAGGCCAGGTGCCCACTGAAGCAATTTACCATGAACATCTGTGAGGCATGGGCATGGATGTAGGGGTGGAAGGACACCACAAATAACCCTTAAAGCAACAGATGTTGTAGGGGTACAGATGGGCCCAGAGGGCCTGCTTGGCATCAGACAGGACTGGGTACAGTGGGGTTTGGGAAGGACCCATTGGCCAAACACAGACAAAAACTCACTTAGGGACCCTGGAGCAGCCTCCCTTTGTCACATTCAAATTATTCCAACAAAGGCATGGCAGACAAGGGAAGAGGGAGTATAACCAGGGAGCCAAAGCAGGGCAGGAGCCACATGGCCACTAGCAGTGTGCTATCGCTGCCCCAGGGGCCCTGGTCCTGCTACACAACCCCACCACAATTCCAGCACCGTGCTCCAGACTTACAAGGATTTGGACAGCAAGCTCTCCTCTTTGCTGGCTGATGCTCTAGCTCAGAGCTAGCCCAAACTTCTTCTATGCCATCACTTTCCACCGCATAAGCAATGTCCTTTCCAGACTGTCGTGAGGGAGTCACTGCCTCCTGCTGTGTCAGTTCTGTATCTGTTCTGGGATCTTGTCGACTGAATGCAGGGAGAGCGTTCACATCCCAAGACCTATCCTGTGTTAGACCACAGATGTCTTTGGCTTTACCTGGGGGCATCTGGGCACTTTCAGGTCTACTAGACAAATGGTTGTTCACAGCTGAGCTTTGCAATGCTGACCACTGTTCCATGGGCTTCCCTAGCTCAGGGGATAGCCCTTGACTGGTCTGCAGGAGGGTTATGCGCTGAGATCTCATCTGCCCTTCAGAGGCTAGGGAAGAGCCATTGGAGGTGGATTTGAGTGTGGTGGTGTGAGAGGGGTGATCTGAGGAGATGTGCCGATGTTCAGCCTGTCTTCTTGTGGATGGACTCTGAGCTGTTCTTCCATCCCAGGACCTGGTGTGGCTAGCAGAGACACCTAGAGCCTTGAACAGCTGTCCAGGACTCAGCTCTTCAAACAGCAACCTGCTCCCTCCAGGGAGAGGCTGAGCCCATCTGGATGAACCCTCCAGGCCTTCACTCCCTTGCATTGTGGGCCATGAAGCACTTTCTTCAGGGGTCCTCACCAATTCCAGGGTCAAATGACCACAGGTCCAAATACCTGTGGAGCTGGCCCTCTCTGTGCCCATGCTGCTTGATGTGTGCATGGTGTTGCTCTGGCTCAGCCTGGATATCCTTCCTCCCAAAGACTCCAGGCTCTCTCTCCTGTTCCTAGTGCTTACAAATTGGGGCCTTTCCACACCACTAGTTGAAGCCACCGATAAGTCATCTTCCAACTCCTCCTTAGGCTGCTGCAGGTACTCATGCTTTCTTTGCCTATGGCTTGTGAGAACCTCCAATGTGTTTTCACATTCCTTCACACAGAAAGAAGGACCAGTGCTTCCTGCTGTCATTCCTACAGCAGTTCCCTCCCCAGTGGAGTTCTCAGTTGAGAAGTCAAAAGCAAGCACACCACCTTCCTCATCAAAATTCACTAGAGGGTCGACCATGTCTTCCTCAAACCTGGTGGCAAAGTCCTCTGTACAAATGGAATTCGAGTCACTCTGGTAGCTCAGATTTTCTGGGGTCAGCTCAGAGCCAAGGAGGTTCCTCATCCTCCAGCTGTATTCATCTTTCTGAGAGGGACCAACTTCACCCAAGGAGATGATATCCTTAGTTCCATAGCATCCTTTCATCTCTGCATAGAGGAGAGAAGTAAATAAGGAGCAGTGAGTTCTTCCTCTAATCAAGATTAATACAGATGAGTGTGCTCACCTTCCCAGCACAAATCAACAGGAAATGGAGCTGGGGAACCAGAACAAGAATCTCCATCCAGTTGGGAGGCTTAGAACTAGCACAATGTATGGGGCAACTGCTCTATTTAAAGCATGCTAGCAATGTCCAACTGCACAAGGTAAAAGCCCCTCCTGGAACTCAGGTCCAAGCAACTAGGCACAAAAGAGAAACTGATTTTTTAAATGAGTTAATAAGCTGGAGGCAAGAATTCTTGTGGGTGATATCTTTTGTTGGACCAACTCAATGTTTGGAGAGAGAGGCAAGCTTTTGGGCACCATGTACTCTAATATGTGAAAGGTTGCCTGTGTCTCTCCCAACCAGAGTTGGTCCAATAAAAGATATCACCTACAAAAATTCTTGCCTCTCACGGCACCAACATCAGCTCAACACTACTTAGTAAGCTGTAAAGACTTGCCTCTGTTTCCCCACAGAGTAATTCAAGGCTATGGCAGAGGTTTCCCCAGTCCTGTTCTGTTCAATTGTAGATCTCAAACTACTTTAAAAAAAATGGTGTCTACCATTATCCCCAACTAGCAAATGGAGAAAGTGAGGCACAGAGATTTGCCCAAGGTCCCAAAACAATCCCAGTGTAGAAACAGAACCCAGGACATGCACCCTCCACTGCCATTCACCAGGGAGCTATGCTGCTCCAATGACCTTTGTTCTCTTGCCAGGCCTGTATACTATGGCAGCTTCCTGTTGCAGGATTTTTCAAGCCTTTCTTGGAAGTACCTGGTGCTGCACATGGCAATGGTCAGAGAAAAACACTGCAGTGCATGGACCTGAGTCAGGCTGATCAGTCTTGTATTACTATTTGTCATTTTAATGTTCATTTGATACCCTGTCTCCACTCAGCAGGGAGCCAACAGTAGAATTCTGCCCCTTTTTGGTAGTTTCTAAGAGAATTGTGGGTGTGCTCTAGTATCTTTTAAACAGAACTACTTTCTGCCATCTAAGTGCAGTGACTCAGGCTGTAGTTTGGAGTTGCTTCTTTACTTGGATTTCAGAGGTTGAGAACTGGGAGATGGTGGCTCAGTTAAGCTATTCAGAGACAGGCAAGGTTCTACAGAGGTTGCCTACTACTCCACAATAAAGTTCATTGTTTAGTTCTTCTCATTCATGTATGCTTGTGTTTACTGAACCTGGTGATCACCGCATTATGGCTTCCTTGCTAGTTTATGGAGTGAGTGTTTCTTGCAGCTTCTCCTGTCTTCTGGGTTTATGATGTGCTGTTTGCTAAATTTAACTCAGATGTGCAGTAGCCTGTAGCCCTACAAATGCAGCAAAACTGCTTCACCTCTAACAGTTTATCCAGCGTCAAAGTCAAAGTGATTTACCTCACTTGTATGCAACAGGTTCACGCACACAAGACTGTTACCAAATAGTGGCTGCTGCGTAGTCCTGAACAACAGCTCATCTTCCCCTTTTGAAGCTGCTATGAGAATTTGTTTGTCCTTTCCTCATTACTCCCTTTGTCTTTGTCTTGTCTAATTAGATCAAACACTCTTTTGGTAGGGCCCATTTCTTCTAGTGTGGATCAAGAGCCTCATGCAATGGGGTCCCCACTTCATTTGGGACCTCCAATAGCTGCTCTCCATGCCTTACTAGGGAAAGTCCCATTTGGCCCCAATGTGACCGCACATTGCTCACCACAGGAATAAGCCTATGCTATCACTTCTCTCACATCACTTACTCACCTGCCATGGGTGAGGCATCAGGTGAACACTCCAGGGAGATATGCTCCACTTCTGGGCTGGTGCATGTAATTCTTGCCCCAGAGCCCTGCCACTGCAGATGGGGAAGAAACAGGTTATGGAAGAACTGTCATGCACCCCTCAGTTGGTTACTCAGGGTCCAGGAAAGGACATGAAGTGTGTTCATGAAGGGAAGGCATTCATAGCAGATCCAGTGCATTGTAGAGATCCTACATAGTGTCAATGACATTCCAGGCAGAGGTGCTTTCCCTGCCCTGTGGCCAGGTTCTCCAATGTGGACTAAGCCAGAGAGGTGGCCAGATCCTGCACACCTGGTACCTCAGTAGTACCTGGGACTAACCCTTCCCACTCTTTATTGTTCATCCCCTTCTGATCTATAACTAGATTTCCATCCCTTGCCTGGCCCCTCCCCACATACCTCCAGCTGGCTGAGCTGAGCATCAATAGAGTCTAAGAGGTAATCGCAGTGGTCCTTTTCCCAAGCTCTTGCAGTCTCAGAATGGGATGGCTGCTGCTTTGTCTCCTCTGTGTCTGTGGGGTGGTTACACATTTCCATTAGTAGTCATGAAACCTTGTGCAATAAACACTGACAAGACTCAGCCTGGAGGCCCATCTGTTCTATGGGGAAGGATAGGCTTGTTCAGTGGAATTCACCCTAGAGGCAGGTGGGAGATTAACTGGCTGCTAATTGTTAGGTGACACACTTATAAGGTGTAAGGGGATGCTAAGTAAATGGACTGAAATTACATGGCTCTCTTGCCAACCTATTCAGAAAGGTGCACAAAGTGTGCAAACACCCTTCCTTCCCACTGGATGGTGAACCTCAGTGATCCTACTTGCTGTTGCTTTGGGAGAAGCAAGCTGTGATGCACTGTGCACATCCATCAGCCTGCCTATAAGACATGCTGTCCAGGCATCATGTTCCATCTGCCACCACTCACGGGTTGATATTAAGACTGTCAGTTCTTTGGGGCAGGGACCTAGTGCTTCCAAATCATGAACAGTATTCAGTGATACAGTACTCCAGGCCTTCAACAATGAGCTGCTGGATTGAGGCACCTAATTCCCAGTCATTCCAGAAACAAGATCAGCAAGACAGCTGACTCACAAAAGTGGTCAATGAGATGCTGCATGGGATGAGATGTTGTAAGGCATCACTGAAGAGTGCTAGGACCTTAATGGGAGACTTAAGAGGGGGCAGCACAGTGTATCACCAGTTAAAGTATGCATGTACATTGCAAGCCACCTGGGGTGTCTTTGTGTGTCTGCTGACAAGAACATTCATGTTTACTGGCAGGTGCGTAAGAGTGTGCATGCATGTACATGCACTTACAGGTGAGTTTTGTACATGTGAGATGAAGTGAAAAATAAAACCATTCAAAAGTACCTGAAGCACCAACTCTTCATTTTTAACACGTTGTACGCCTGGTCAGATTTAGAAGAGGGGCTGTGCTGAGTAAGCTCTGCCCTCAGCTGGCCCCTCCACTGGCTAATTACAGGGTACTGTGAGAAGAAAGCTTGCTCTGTTGTCTGAGCAAGGCTAAGAGCATTTCAGTCCCTGGTGTTGCCCTCTAGACTTTTCTCATGGCAAGTTCATTTAAGGCAAGGGCATCAAACATATGGCCCGTGGGATGCATCCAGCCCATGAAGCCCTGCCATCTGGCCCCTGGTGCTGCCCCTTTTGCTACACCAGACCACCCCACACACAGTGCCTGGGATGTATGTTTCCCACAGGGTTTGCTCAGGCTGGGTCCTAGGCTGTGACACATACTGGGGCCAGCCCCTGAGGGATGCACAGCCCATGGTTCTTGCTTGGGCTGGTCCCAGGCTGTGCTGCTTGTACTGGATCTGGCATGCAGGTGGGGAGGTGCGGGGTGGGGGTGGAATGTGTAATCCTGATCTGGCCTGTGGACTAGCCCTGCACCACTCATCTGGCCCACATGGTGCAGGGCTGGTCCACAGGCCAAATCAAGATCACAAATCCTGAATCCCACAGGGTCAGATGAGTCGGACACCCCTGATTTAATGAAACAGAATTAAACCGAGCCAAAAAAGTCCTCATCTCAGTCCTCACTCTGAGCATTAATTTTGCATTGGGGAGGCGAGAGTGAGCAGTGGCGATGGCATCCACAATCACGTACTGCCTGATGCAAGGGAAGTCAGTATCAGCATACGGGACAGAGCAAACTCCTGTGCACAGGCTGTGTCCTTACTGGATTCAGCATTTTCATCCTTCTGGTCTTCAAGGGCAGCACCGTCATTGTCCAGCTCTGTATCAGTCATTGTGCCTGGCCCTAAAACACAAAAGCATAGCAGTAAGCAGGGTTAGCTGCTTCCTCTGGTCCCTTGGGGATCTTGTGGCTGCCTACAACTTTATCAGGGGCCACCAGCAGGGACTTGGGGAAAGTCTGTTCATCAGGGCCCCCCTTGGAGTCACCAGGAACAATGGCCACAAGCTGAGGGAGGATAGGTTTAGGTTAGATATTAGGAAGAACTACTTCACTGTAAGGGTGGCCAGAGCCTGGAATAGGCTTCCCAGAGAGGTGGTGCTCTCACCTTCCCTGGAAATCTTCAAGAGGAGACTGGATAGGCACCTGGCTGGGGTTTTATGACCCCTGCCACCCCCAGTGCTCCTTCCTGCCCATGGCAGGGGGTCGGACTAGACAATCTGTCTAGGTCCCTTCCGACTCATTGATTCTATGATTCTATGATTCTATAGCTCTTGGAAGACTCTCTGTGCCACTCCTCTACATCTAATACAGCTTTTTTCTGCCATGGCTGAGAGGAAGATGCTGCACTGCAAGGAACTTAGTACAAGCAATCATGTCACCTGCACATGCAAGAGCCTGCTAGTCACTCCCACCTGCAGGAGCTCCTCTTTAACTCAAGTGTTAGGTGCCTACCTTTGGTACAGAAGCCCCTTAGTTCAGCCTTTGCTGATGACTATGATTGCTGGTCTATCTATGGCCCTACTCTATCTATATACAGCCAAGTATTTGCCTTGCTCCAAAGACACTGGGCACAGATGCTGGGAAAGGGCCACTGCAACAACAGCAGAGGAAGTAACTCAAAGCCAGACTTTTGTTTTCAAAAGTAACTAGTGATTTGGGGGGCCTAGTTCAGACAAGCTGGAATCTGCTCTATTTGCAGTGTCTAACAATGGCCCTGCAAATCACTGGTTAGTTCTGATGGTCTTAAAGTGCTGCTGTAGCCATGATGGTCTAGGAAAGGTAGAAGTTGTAAGGGTTTTATGCGACTTCTTTTACTGGACAAACCGTATAGTGGGGAGAGCTAGCAAACAAGCTTTCAGGCACAAAGTACCATTCCAATTTGTGCCCAAAAACTTATCTAACGTATCTTCCAACCATACAGCTGGTTCAATAAAAGATATCACAAAAAGCCTTCTTTTCTGATTAGTTCTGAGAATTTAGGCCAGAACAATCTAAACTAAAAAGGCTATAGAGCTCTGCCCCCTACTGGATGAAGTTAGAACTACTGTATTTACAGAAGATGACCCTGAATTTAAGATGACCCTCCAGTAATCAGATTCTATACATAGAAAACTTACACATTTGTTATAATTTTCCATGTATAGATTCTAATTACTAGAGGGTAATCTTGAACTCATACTCCCACTGCTGCAGTGGGAAAAACACTGGCAGGGGGCAGGCAGGGGGTGGGGAGCCAAGCATCTTCCCCCCTGCCCCTTGACCCCCACACCTTGCCCCCTCGCCCCTCAACTTACTCCCCCGATGCCTCCCACCTGGCACCTGCCCTTCTGCTACTTACCTCTCCATGCCTATATACCCTGACACTTTACCCGCCCCCCCGCCACCCCCCCTTCCCCTCAGGGCTTGACCTCTTGCTCTTTTGCCTGTTTGTTAAAACCTTATCTTGGATTTGAGAAAATATTCATTGGTGTGACATGGCCTTTGCACTGTTAATAGTTAATGGAGATTCCCCTCTGGCTAAGTAAAAATGGCCTGTACATTAGGAACATTAGCATCCAGTTTTCTGTCTTGCCTGTCAGTGACCAGTGAGTGTTAGCAAATAGGGCAATAAACTGGAATTTTAGAGACAGATGCATTTATTGAGAAAGGAGCAGTCTCTGTCATTCAGAGGCAGCAAATGCATGTGTCTGTGTAACCATCTGACACTTGATTTCTGCATTTTGTGGGAACCCTTGTCTATGTAAGTGTGAGCTAAGGCAGTGGCAATGGGTAGAGGGTGCACGTGCACCCCCTGACAGTGCTGGTGCACCCCCTGACAGTGGCATTCCCTGCTTAGGCGATGGGGGGGTGAGCAGGAGGGGGCAGGCGAGAGCACTGGTGCCCCCCCGTTGGGGAGTGGAGGTGCCAGAAGCGATCCCTGTGGTCCCCCCATGGCCGATTGTGCGAACTAGGGGGAGGGGGGTCCCCTGTGGATGATCACACCGCTCAAAAGAGCCACACACCCCCACCAGTCACTGACTGGCCACTGGGGGGGGGGGGCAAGGGCCCCC